TCCTGCTCCGGGAGCATCCCAAGGGAGGAGATCCAAGGGCGGGGGGGCTGGAGCAGAGCAGCTCCTGGCTGTGCCATGCCAGCGCTGTGATGGGGCTCCCAAAAACGCCTGGAAACACCGAGGAGAAACATCCACATCCCGAAGCTTGGGGGTTCTAGCGGGGGGTCCCCTGGGGCCAGCCCCTCCCCGCGTGTCCCAGCGCAGGGGACAAGCCCGGCGCCAGCCCGAGTGACAAAGGCAGGTGGGATTGTTCCCGAGCAGTCCCGGGTCAGCATCCCCGGGGTGGGAGCTGGGGCCACCCGGCACTTCGTTAACCTTGAAACCCTCCCGGGCTCACATGTCACGTCAGCCGGTGACAACAACAAGCTGCTATTCCAGATTAGAGAGAGAGGGACAGAGAAAGGCAGAGACAACAGGGTTGGGGGTGGCCAAATTACCTATTACAGCCAAAAGTGGGCATGGGGCTATTTTTAACCCCGAGGGGGGTGTATTTATTGTTCCAGCCGGGGGGGAGTGAGGGAGTGCCTCTGGGACACCCCTCACAGGGACATCGGCAGCTGAGCGAAGCCATGGTGAGTACTGAGAGCCCAAAGCTCCAGCAGGAAGAGATAAAAGTAATTTGATTTTTTCACCAGAATTAATGGGCAGGGGGCAAAGGAGGCATCAAGGAGTTGAGAGCCAAGGGTCTTGTCTGCCTTGGAAAGCGGGTGAGAAAACTGGGGAGCATCTGGGCAGATCAGCAGAATCTCACAGGGAACAGAGAGGTGTCTCCCATACCAGCAGAGCTTTCAAATGAGTGCAGGTGGCTTTAGGGTCCAAACGCCATTTTTTTTTCTTTCCCCTTCCTTCATGCAGTGAGAGGAAGGGTCATTTTGTGCCCCCAAAATCCTCCTCCTGTCAGACCCCCATGAGAGGAAACGGCTGCAGGAGCAGGCACTGGAATGAGGGATAACGGGCTGGGTGGGACAGCGAGGGGCCCTTCAGTCCTCTTTAAAACACATGCTGACCCATTTCTGGTTGGTTCAAGCCTCAGTGCAGGAGGAGGCAGATTTTTAATTAAGCCATATTTTAACATTTGCACAGCAGGGTAAAGAAGCACTGACTGGCCACAACCCATATGTGCAACCTCAGCAGTGCTCCCAAAACCAGGGTTCCAGCGGGGATATCTCACCCCAGAGCTGACCCTTTTACCTGCCAGTGGGAGAAGGGATTTCACTCCTCATCTTTCCTTGGACCTATTTGGCTAAATTCACTAGGAGCTGAAATTAAGCAGGAATCTTAATGCCCCTCAGCATCCCAGAGCTGCAGGGAGAAACTACCAAGCTCCCAGGGAAGAGAGCCCCAGCCCAGAGCTCCCACCAAGGAGTCACAAGTAAGAACAGGGCACTTCCACGCTTTTATTTCACCCCATAAAAAGCCAGTGAGCTAATGGTACATACCTGGACTCCTGCAGGCACCCAAGAAAGCCAAGAAGAGGATTGAAGGTGCCAATTCCAATGTTTTCTCCATGTTTGAGCAGGCGCAGATCCAGGAATTCAAAGAGGTAGGTGGCTTTGGTGGGAAGGACCGAGGGTCCTTGATGTGATGTGACCTTCAGCTCTTTCTCTCAAGTGACAGCTGGTTCACACCAGGAGGCAGCAGGCCCGTTTTTGGGTGGTTTTATTTTAAAAGTGAGAATAACAACTCAGTGACACCGTTAAATCTGGCAAAGCCTCCAAACTTCCAAGGAGCCAGATTCCCTCAGAGGATCAGGCACACCCGAGGGAGCTGGAGAAGATCTCCCAGCTCACTGCCACCTGCCTTGCCAGGAGATCTCACCCCCTGCACGGCAGGGATGTGGTCCCTGTTCCAGGGATAACTGGCCCCAGTTGGAGGAGCTGATGGCCTCTCTGCCGGTGTCATACTGGGGTGAGAGGGATTTGGCCAAGGAAAGGGCTTGTACAGCTTTGGGGTTTGGGTTGCCATCGCCCCAGGGTGCTGGACTGTGAGGAATGAGGGTGAGTGAGACCCCCAGAGCCCATCCTGGGAGGGCTCAAAATGCCCTTATCCCATCCAAGCTGAAGGGAGAAGGAGAAAGGTGCTGAAGCCTTTGCAAAGGCTGACAATTCCCCCTTTCCCTGTGCTCCCTGCCCTGCTCCTGTGCCTCCAGGCGTTCACCATCATGGATCAGAACCGGGACGGCTTCATCGACAAGGCAGATCTGAGAGACACCTTTGCTGCCCTTGGTGAGCCCAGCTTTAGCAGCCTCCCCTCCCCAGCTTTGCCAACATCAGACCTGTTAATTGAGAAACAAGGAGGGGTGGGGGAGTTTAACCAAACCCCTGCCATCCACTGGATCTCTCATTTTGACAAAAACCTCCTGATCCAAACCCAAGCCTGCCAGCTGGGAGATCCCTCATGGGTGATCCCGGAGCAGCTCCCACAGCAGCTCTGGTTTATCCCCTTGGCACTGGAGCCAGCTCCTGGATTACACAGCCAAACACTCCCTGCCTTTTCCATGCTTAGGAGCACCTGGCTGTGCCCATCCCACGGCATCCCAGGGTATGTGGGCATTAAGGGGATTTAGGGGATTTGTGGGAGGCTGTGACACTGCGAGCTCGGCTCTGCCATCAGAGGTCAGCATGAATCAGCAATGGAGATCCAAGGACAGCCCAGCCTCGGGAAAAAGGATGTAGATGTTCAATCCCATTTGCTTTTGGTGCTGGGGAACAGGGAGAACCACAGTGCTGGTGGTCTTGACCCAAAACATATTCCAAGGAGGCTTAAAAGGGGCTGATCCATGGGGCAGTGAGGGAAGCAAGCAGCACAGCTCAGTCCTTTCATCCTTCTTTTCTGTGATCCTGGAGCCTGAGAAGCCAGAGCTGGAGATGATTCTCTCACCTCACTGCTGCTACCTCCATTCCTTGTCAGAGGTGGCTCCCCAGGAATGTGCTATTTCCCTCCAGTGGGTGAAAATCCCCCAGGGAAAGGTTCTGTGGTGTGTATTTTTAGCCCCCAACACGCAGAGCAGGACTTGGATCCACGACTGACCCACAGCTGCTCTCCCCAGGGCGCCTGAATGTGAAGAACGAGGAGATCGATGAGATGATAAAGGAGGCACCGGGCCCGATCAACTTCACCGTGTTCCTCACCATGTTTGGGGAGAAGCTCAAGGGTGAGAGGGCACCTGGGAAGCTGGGGGTGCTCACTGGTGCTCAGTGGCATTCCAAAACTCCTGCTGATTTGCAATACCAGCCATCCCTACGTCCAGAGATCTTATCCCATGTCTCCCCAAACTGTTGGGGAGTATGAGATGGTCTCCGTGCCTCAGTTTCCCCAGCCATTTACAAAACCCAAATGGCTGTGCTGCTGCTGCTGTCCCATAGGAAGAGGGGACAGTTCTTGCAGCACCTCTGAGCCTGCTGACAGCAGCAGTGCCAAAATTGGCCCCCCTGCCTACAGCCAGACTTTGACCCACCATCCCATCTGGCTGTACCCTGAATCACGTACTTAACCCAAGGAATGCAGCCTCCTGCCGATCTCCAAGAGGCTGCAGGGCCCCAAGGGCTGTGCCTGGAGCTCTATAAATACGCTCCAAAGATTAGATAAATGCCGGATGCCGGAGCGGTGGCGACACCGCCTGCTCTGTGCTCGCACCGCGGCCCCACGGCTGCTCCTCTGCACTCCACCAGCTTCACTCGAGCCTCCAGCTGCAGGGCCAGCATTCCTGCAGGGGCCCCACTTTCCAGTCTGCCCCCCGTTTTGTCCCCGAGGCTGGGAGAAGAAGGAGGCTGCAGTCAGCTTCCTACTTTACCATCTCCAACGGTAATCAAATCTCAAATCATGGCTTTGTCACCTACAGGTGCCGACCCAGAGGAGACAATTCTGAATGCATTCAAGGTGTTTGATCCAGAGGGGAAAGGCCTGAAATCTGCCTAGTGAGTGCAGGGGTGCCTGGGGCAGGGAGTGATGGGGGTGTCCCCATGAGGACCTGCCCTGTGCTCACCGCGCTCTCTCGTTTGCAGCATCAAAGAAATGCTGATGACGCAGGGGGAGAGGTTTTCCCAGGAAGAGGTATGATCTCTTTCCCACCTTCTGCCAGCCTCCCTCCATCCCAGCAGACCCCATCCCTCCTCCCAGCCCAGTACCAAACCCCTCCCATTCCACCTTTTCTCACTGCTCTTCCCTGGCAGATCGATCAGATGTTCGCTGCCTTCCCTCCGGACATGTCTGGCAACCTGGACTACAAGAACCTGGTCCATGTCATTACTCATGGTGAAGAGAAGGACTAGCCCAGGCTCAGGGCTGGGGCTGGCACTGCAAGATCACCTCTCCCTAGGTCACTCGGGGGTTCCCTTTCCTCTTCCCCTGGAGAGGCATGTGCCTGGGAATTTGGCACGGGAATGGCATTCACATTAAAAGGCCTTTTGGCAAGAGGAAACCCAGCTGCTGGTGTGAGCAGTGCTTGGGCTTGTGTGGTCTGCCTGTGCCCCGTGGGAGCCCTCAGATCCTTCCAGACCCTGCTGGCCTCAGCACCCCAGACCTACTGCATGTCACCCTCGTGTGTCCTCCAGTCCCTCTGTCTCCCACTTCCACTCCCAGCCCCAAACCAGTTCCACACTGGGCTGTGCCCATCCCACCTGGTCCCACAGCCCAGGCCCAGCACCGAGCTCAATTTTCCTTTAGGCAGCAGAGAGTTGTCAGCTTCTGCCAGCTGAGCAGGGAACCCCCCATGAGCACACTCATCCTCTGCATCCCACCTGCCAGGCCCTGCCCTGGGGCACGGTGCAGGATTGGCACCTCTGGCTGTGGGGAGTGCCTTGGGTCGTGTGACAGGGATGTCACCCTCTGCTAGAGCAGCTGATCCCACCCCGGCTGTGGGTGCTGTCAGCAGTGGGTGAAGCCATGCCAAAATATCACCTGGTGAGGTTCTGAAGCCTGTGAAAGGTGTTGGGCTCCTTCCAGAGAAGCAAGATGGAATGATGCGCGGAATGCAGAAGCTCAAGAATGAAACAGCTTCTTTAATTCCCTGATGGGCTCCTGGTCTCTGATGGGCTCCTGGTCCCTGATGGGCTCCTGGACCCTGATGGGCTCCTGGCCCCTGATGATGTGAATCTCCTCCTCCTCTTGCCCGAGCTGGGGGGCCTGCTCAGCTCCTCCTCGTGCCTCCGGATAACGAGCTCACGCAGCTGATCCCGGCCCAGCGGCTCTTCCGCTGCCCAAGAGAACGTCCATCCCATAATACACAGCCTTACAGGTGTCATACACCCCGGTGGGGCAGGACAGGCTGGAGGGGATGGACTGGGAAGGACGTGTGGCAGCAGGGCTTGGCCAGGCAGCCACGGGGGATTGGGGAGCGGCTGCTGCCCGGCTGTGGTCCCTCTCTCCCCACTCCTTGCTCACCGGTTTTGGGCTCAGCGGTCTCCTCCAGGTCTGGGGGGGGTGGGCAGAGCTTGGCCCTGTCCATGGTCCCCAGGAGCTTGGAGGTTCCCTGGAGAGGGCTGGTGAAGGCCTGGGCGCGCTGGGTGCGATCGATGGACGTGTAGCGCAGCAAGGACTCCCTCAGCAGGAACTCCTTGATCTTGTCCTCCACGGGACCTGCGTGGGAAGGAGCCACAGTGTCCCGCAGTGTTCCTGCAGCAGGACCCTGCCCAAACCCACCCCTGCCTCTCTGCAGAGCAGGGGATCCACTGGTTTCCCTCCCCCACCATCAGAGGGCCAAGTTTGGGTCATGGAATCACAAAATCACAGAGTCATTAATGTTGGAGCAGACCTCGAAAATCATCAAGTCTGACTTCATACTGAGTATTCCCTGCCTGTTAAAGCATACCACAAAGCGCCACATCCCCTTTATTTTTTGAACACTTTGAGGGTGGTGATTTTACCACTTCCCTGGGAAGTCTGTTCCAATGCTTGACCACTATTTCAGTGAAGAAATTTTTCCTAATATCCAACCTGAGCCTCCCCTAGTGTAATTCCCCTTGTCCTCTTGCTGGCTGCCTGGGAGGAGAGGCTGACCCCCATTGCATCCAGCACCCAGAACCACGATGAGGGTTTGGGAATCCACTGGGATGTTAAAAATCCAAATTAGCTCCCAAATTTGCTGGGAATTTGGCATTGCAAATTCACTTTATGGCACACGTGACCGGTGGGACAGGGGAAAACAAAAGCTCAATTTAAACACAGTGCAAGCAGGTGGTGGACAGGATTTCCCAGGACACGTGGCATGGGAAGATGGGCAGCCCTGACCTACCAAAAACTGGCACCAAGCTCTCCCCAAGAGGCTTCACCATCTTTGTAGTGTCACAGTCCATGTTCTTCAAGAGGGTCTCCATGCGAGATTGGATCTGTCCCAGGAGTACGCTGCTCTCCTTGCATTTATTCTCATACTTGTTGGCTTCCTCAGTGGTCTCTGCTATTTTTGCCTACCAGCAAGGGGTTTTGTGTCACAAAGGTGTCACACCAGCCCCTCGCTGATGCCACCACCCCAGTGCTGCCCAGTTTCAGCAGCAGCACTGCTGAAGACAGTTTTTCTGGAGACAGAATCCCAGGATGGGTCAGGTTGGAAGGGACCACAAAGGGTGGTCTGGTCCAACCTCTACTCGAGCAGGGTGATCCCAGAGCACAGGGCACAGGATTGTGTCCAGACAGTTCTGGAATACCCCCAGCTGCCCATGCTGGCCCGGGGCTGGCAGGAACCCCACAGCCACCCTCTCACCATGCCCTTGGGGCTGCCAAAACCTTTGCAGGGCCCTTTTCTGCCCACACCTCTCCAGCCAGAGCAGCATTTACAGGACCAGACTCTCTAAAAAGTGCTGGGACAGACAGGGATATGCTGCCTTTCCAGAGGAATCCATGGTCACCATACCTCCAGCTCCTGCACGACGTGGGTGCAGGTTGTCTCCGCCTGCTCCCGCTCCATTCTGATGGCCTTCATGTCATCCTGTGGGAACACCAGCACGTGGAGGGGCTACCCATGGAACCCCACCCATGGACAGCCCAGGGAGCAGCTGAAACATAAACTTTGAGGAATTCAGAATTTTGGAGGAGCTAAGATTTTAGTTAGGGATAAGCTTTATTGGAGCTTTAATTATTATTTAATTAAAATAAATAGGTAGGCCTTGATGAAGTCAAGAGTTAGTATTTAATAATTGATTGCTTGTCAGCACAATGTTTGGCTAGCTGGGTTTATAATGAAGAATATAAAAACTGACAAAAAGCTTTTAGTAACATAAGACAGTTGTGGGCCTCCTCTGTTCTGAATCCAATTGAAGAGAGGGAAAGGGAGTTCTACCAAGGGTTCATTTGTCATATTTGCATTGAAAAGGTAGAAAGGTCAGAACGAGGAAGACTTCATTTACTTCCTCATTTTGGGACCCCCCTCCCCATGAAAGGGACCCCCAACCCATTTCAAGGAACAAACTACGCATGCTTAATAGCTTTTGAACTAATTAGCATATGAAGCCGGGAATGGGATGTACCAAAGTTGTGAATATGTATTTGTATTTTGGGTATTCAACACTTGCATAGATAAAAAGGGTCTGTAATCACCTGTAAATTGCAGTGTGTATTTGGGAGCTGCCCAGCGTTGCAATAAACATACACTTTCTAACTTTAAAAACTGTTAGAGAGTCTTTGTCCATCACAGTTGGATATCAGTACTAGAGCAATATCCATATTTCTAATAAATCACAGGTTCTAGATCAATATCCATATTTTTTTAATAAATCACGGGGACACCTCCAGGGAAATGGAGAGCCCTCCAGGCAGCCCCACAGGGTTCGGGGGAGCTCCTGACTCCCCGGGACCCTGCAGTATTTTTGCTGGGTACACGGTGGCAGCATTGAGACACGTTTAGCTCCGAGAGCACAGCAGAGTTACGGGTCTGGCTTCTCCTCTGCATCCCCCCAGTCCTACCTGCGTGGCTGGATGTGGGCAGTGATGCCCACTCGGGAGAGGACCAACCCTCCCTGACCCAAAATCACTAGGTGGAAAGGGAAGACAGGAAGAGCCAGGAACAGACCTGGATGGCCTCGATCCTCTGCCTGAGACCCTCGTTCCTGACGTTCAGCCTAATGGCATAGCTGAAGAGGATGAAGAATCTCCTGTCCTTTTCAAGGAAGTCCTCCAAGAAATCATCAATATCTCCGTCTGACAGCTCCAGCAGACGCTTGTAGGCCACCTCATAGCTCTCCTTTTGGCTCCTTTTGGCCCTCTCACCTGCCTCTAAGGCTGAGGAAGAGACAGAGAGCTGTGGTTGCCCTCTGCAGAGCCTTCCCTGTGGTGCTGTGGGGTTTGGTGCAGGGCTGGGTCAGGAGGGAGCAGTGCTGGAGGGGCAGAGGGTGCCTCTTCCACCAGGAAACCAAGCAGGGATGTCATGGGAATGGAGCAAACACCATGGATTCCCTCCCAGGAGGATAGAATTATTAGATTAGATTAGATTTTAGCAAGGTGAGGGTGGTGAGGCCCTGGCACAGGCTGCCCAGAGAAGCTGTGGCTGCTCCATCCCTGGAAGTGTCCAAGGCCAGGCTGGACAGGGCTTGGAACAACCTGGGCTAGTGAAAGGTGTCACTGCCCATGGAGGGGGTGGAACTGGATGAGTTTTAGGACTCCTTTCCAACCCAACCTGTTCTGTGGTAAAAGGAGCCATGGCTGCACACAGCACTAACTCCCTGTCCCAAGGGCACCCCAAGACACTCAGTCTCACTCAGCACTGTTCAGCCTTTCTGCTTGTAGGGTGAAGGTTGGGTGGGGGAGGCTGTGGGCAGGGCAGGCATCCTGCCTTTGGGGTGCAATTCTGTAAACCACCACGAGCAGCCCAGCCCCATCAGCTCTGCAGACTTCGGGTTTGTGATCCCAGTCACACAAATTCTCCTCTGATACCTTCTCTCTCTTTGGCCTGTTCCTTCAACACAGAGAGGTCTGCACATTTGCTGAGGAAGAAGTTCTTCAGCCTGGTCTCCTGGTGCAGGGCACACTTCCTCTCCAGCAGCCTGATGTTGTACTGGATGGTTTCTCTGTAGCGCACGTCCCGAATGTCCGAGATCCGCCCCAGATCCTCCATCCTGCACACGCAGAGCAGCACTCACACCTCGTGTGTGTGCAGGTTCTGTGTTCCTGGCCACTCCCAGGAGTGCCAGACCTGGAAAAACCCCTGTGGTGCTGTGCTTGCTTCCAGCTCTCATCTGGATGGAGTGGAGTTAGTCCAGAGGGAATTCATGGCCACTAACACAGCTTTTGGTGGGGTTTTGTACCAGGCATAGTACCCAGCTCAGGTGGGATTCAGAAAAAATAGACTCCTCCATGGGGCAGTCCCACGGTTCCAGTCCCATCCCATCCAAAGAAACATGTGGCACAGATGGAATTAAACACCCTGGAGGTACCAGTCTCCCCACCCTGACCAGGCACCCAGCCCTTAGCACCCAGACCTAGCTGGGAGTGGTGAATCCTCTCTCTGAAGCCTCAGCTGGTCTCTCTGTTTGAACCCTCATCACTGGCATCACCCACCAGCCCCAAGTTCTGCCCAGAGGGCTGACAAGGCCATGTACCACTGCTCGTAATCTTCTGTGGCTTGCTCAATAGCAGCATCCAGCAATTTGTTCTGCTGAGCCAGACTTTTTTCCAGCTTCCAGTAGCAGTTGTCATAAATGGCTTTCTGGATCTGCAGGCTGGCAGTCTCCTGCCGGAGGCTGTTGTTCCTGGTCATGATGCTGTTGTAACGGACAGTGACCTGGGGAGAGCAAAGCAAAAGCTGTGGAACTGGTGGAACTGGTGGGGGACTGGGAGGGTTCAGGTTGCTGCTTAAAGACCTTGACCAGGGCAGAGTCAAACACAGCCCAAGAGATTTGAAGCTGGCCCTGCACTGTGCTTCTCCCCGAGAGATTAAAGGCAACAGAAGACCAGGTTGACCACAACAGAGACCTGGAGCTGGCTTTGTCCAAGGCAAGGTGGCTCCAGGCAGCCCAGTTTGATCACAAAGCAGGTGCAGACCTTCAGGCACAGCACAGGTGCTGCATTTGGGTCACCAAGCCTGAAGGAGCCTTTGAGATATTCTGGGAATGATCAGGCCAGGGGAACGAGCCAGGTGCTTCATGCAGCTTGTGTCAACCAAATACATTTGCACCACTGTGCTTTGTCCTGACCAGAAAGGACCCAGGCCCCTGTGTGACCCCACACATGTTCTCCAAAAGTCTCCAAAATGTTTCCTTACATGACTCAGACGCATCTCCAGTAACTCGATTTTCTTCTGCAGGTGTTTGCGGCTCTTTGCTTCCAACACTCTCCAGGCTGTGTCTCTTTGCTTCACTATCTTTTTTTCCAGTTCTACAACCTGTACATACACACACAGAGGGAAAAAACCCAGGAAGTATAATCTCCACCCCAGCATTCTGGACTTTTTTCAGGACACAGAGCCAAAGAAAATCCCTTCTGTTGACCTGAACTACAGCAGCCGTGTCATTAATGAGCTCTCTGTTATAGAAGCAGCTTTAATCCCAAAGCATCCCACCCTGCACAAGCAGAAACATAAACTGTAACTGGAAATGTTGGGGGGTTTTTTTGTGTGTCACGAAGGAAGTGCAGCTGTTTTTGCAGGGAGCTCCAGCAGGTGCTGAACACAGCACAGCAGCACTTTGTAGAGTGGAAGAGGCAATGAGGACGGGGCTTTGGTAGAGGTATTGTGCTGGCCAGGCAGGGATCTGTGCAGTCCTCCCTGGGAATGAGTGGAGGAAAACTTCTGCCAGAAGTGGGGAGCTTCCAGAGGAAATAAATCCATGGAAGAGTGAAGCAGTTGGAGAACAGCAAAGCAGGAGGCAGGTGGGGGAGGGATGACTCAGGCAAGTCAGAGTTCTCATCCCTGACAAAGCCAACCCTGCTGGGAAAGCTCTGCAGCACCTCCAGCAATGGCAAACTATCCCAGCATGTTCCCTGGAGTCCAGCTTGGGCAGCTGGCTCTGAGAACAATGCTGAAGGGAACTGTCACTTCCACAGCCCACGTTTCCCTTGGCTTCCCACTCCATTCCTGCCCAAATCCAACCAGGATGTCCTCAGGAGAAGGGATGGGGCATCCCTCAGATGCTGCTGTTCCCATATTTGCCACACCCAGACAGCACTGTTCCAGTTTTACCTCTTTTTCAGGAGAATTTAAAAAGTGAAGGGAGAAGGAGAGGGATGTTTGTGGCCCCAGGCTGGTGTGTGCCATCACACAGGGCTGCAGGGACCAGTGGGACAAGGTTGAGAGTCCAACCTCACTTTTCCAGTCAGTGCTGCTGACTTGAATGGGAAGCTGGTTCTATTTGTCATTGTCATGTGTCACTTGCCAAGAGGAATATTCCAAGGCCTGAGTTAAATGTGTTTTACACTGAGGAGTTTCAGCCACAGGTCTCACCCTGTGACTCTGCCCTGCTGTGCTCAGGCAGGGAACAGTCCAGATGCTCTCACCTGCTTGGCCAGGTCAGCTAACTGGGCTTTTCTTTCTTTGATCAGGGCATCATTCTGCATTCTGGTCTGCAAAAGGCTTTGGATCTTCCTACGATTTCTGTTTTCCAGCAACACACTGCTCGGTGAATAGATCTGGCTCAGCGTTAATGTCACATGTCTGCGTTCTTGCTTCAGATCATTTATTGCTTTTCTGTAAAAATGGAACAACAAATGACATTTAGCACATCCCATCTGCCAGGCCAGGTCCTTACCCCTCCCCATCTCTGCTCTGTGGGCCCCAGATCTCTTTATAAAAGAGAGGGAACAACATTTTATATGGGCAGATGAGATAGGACAAGAGGGAATGGATTTAAGCTAAAAGAAGAGAGATTGGGATCAGATGTTAGGAAGAAATTCTTTACTCAGAGAGTGCTGAGGCCCTGACACAGAGTGCCCACAGAAGTTGTGGCTGCCCCATCCCTAGAAGTGTCTAAGGCCAGGCTGGACAGGGCTTGGAGCAACCTGGGATAGTGGAAAGTGTCCCTGCCTGTGGGATTCTGTAGATCTGTGGTTTTGGCATGGAGGAACTTCCCAAGCAGAGCTGTACTCACTCCTGAGCCTGCATTTGCCGCCAGATATCGGCATCGAAGAATTTCCTCTTGTATGCTTCATGATGAAAATGGGTCTGCAGATGCCTGATCTCCACTTTAGCCCTTATTTCCTTGTCCTTTTCAGGGAGGTCCAGGTCTGCTGAGGCTTCTCTCCTCTGCCACAGACAAGAGTGGGTTTGGTCAGTCGAGCAAACACAGCCGGCAGGGGCAGCAGCTGAGCAGCACCAGCTCTTCCCTGGCACCTGGGATCCATCACCACCCAAAACACACAGTTCTGACTGAGCTGGAGCCAGCACCTCAATTCCAGGACAGGGAGAGATTTCCACCAGTGAAGAGGACAGGTGATGGCAGGTTGTCACCTCTTTTATCACCCAGCACAACAGCGAGGACCACGTGAGTCAGAACCAGAGCCACTGTGCTGGGGGCATGGATGAGCCCAGCTGGCTGCCCAGGAGTGGAGCAGGAGTGCTCCTGTCCCCAACCATCAGAAGGTGACTTCTAGATGAGAAACTGCCCACCACTACCCATGTCCTCAGCTGACTCCAATTCCCCAACTCTGCCTCTCCCAACACCCAAATCTCAGTCCAGGGCCTCACTCCTGGCACAGGAGAAGCAGCCCCACAGCTACCCAGCACCTTGCTGGCAGGAGCAAACCTGGCTCCCACTGCTGATGTGTATTTCCACGGGTAAGATCCCCACAGGAATTCCTCCACAGTCCCTGTGAAGCTCAGCTTTAGTTTGTCCTTCTATTTTACCTTCATTTTCCCCGTCTAACTCTGCTGGTTGCTCTGTAGACGCCTTGGGAAGAGAACAAGTGAAACTCTGCAGGCACAGGATTGCTTTCCAAGGGAAGAAATGAAACAGGAGTAATGGGGTGGCTGTGTCCTCCTGCCCATCCCTCAGCACCCGCTCGCGTGTTTGGCACATGAGGAAACCATCACAGATGGCTGCAAGAGGAATAAAAGGAGAGCATTTCTGGTGATGTCATCGTGAAATTATCGAGTTTTATAAGTAGGGGAAGAACAGATGGTTTGAGCTATACCACCCCATTCAGTACCTGGGTTTCCATAGAAATTCCAGCGAGGCCAGTCCCCCCCACCCTGTGCCTGCAGAACACCTGGATTCAGCACCCTTGTCCCACTGATGCCAGGAGGGCACTAGAGTGGACCCCACAGCCCTTACCCCCAGAGCTGGTCCCCAGCAACCACACTGCAGTCCCCTGGGTGTCCCTGTGTCCCCTGACACTGCTCAGCTCCACACAGGGCACTGTAGATCCTCTCCAGCCAGGACACAGAACCACAGTGACAATCAGGTTTTCCTAAAGATCCACTCCTATTTCCAGCAAGAAGCTCAGGAGAGGGAAGAACCTAGAAGAGAACTGGTCCCAGTCCCATCCTGCACTGCCCCAGGTTCCGTGGTTGCCATGGCAGCATCACCACAACGGAGTGAGAATGGTGCCCCACGATGGACCAAGCAAGGAGTTGTTGGGACCCCACATTACATGGACCTAAGGGGTTTCTGTGCCCCAAAAACAGCCCTGAAGCACATGCTCCAACATCTCTCTGGCTATGTGTCCACAGCAAGGAGAAACCCTCATTTGGAATTGAGCCATAACCTGGCATTCGAAGCCTTTTGCTCCAACAGGAGCAGCCAGGGGTTCACCATCCCCAGCAGTGCTTCAGAATTAGGGCTGCTCCTCCCTCCCCATTTGATCCCAGCTTCTCATCCAGAATTTTTGCCTTCCAACCCGGTTTTTATCTGTTTTATTCATAAAGAGACCACCACCACCTCACTGCCACCGCTGCTGGCATCCAGAGCAGCAACTGGCACTGCCAAACTGGGGAAAGACCCTGGGGACAGGGACCTGTTCGGTGGCTGATTAGGGGACAGATTGAAGCTTCATGCCCACTTCTCTCCTCCCCATGCAGGGAAGCACACAGGAGCTGTGGTCTGGGTCATGAGAGCCATGATAATCCTTCCCCTGTAAGCCGGAGCGCGTGGCCAGCTCCTTCCCAGGGACGGCACAAACGCTGAGATCCCTGGAGGGCAGGAGCACAGGGGCTGTGTTTTGTTGCCCTGGAGAATGCTTGCTCAGCTGTGGGCTGAAGGGGAGCAGAGCAGAGCTGAAGGTGAGCAAAGGGCAGCCTGTCCCAGTTTGCAGGGCTGCAGCGAGTTCAAAGCCACGAGCAAAATCCCCTGAGCAGAGCATCAGCACCTCCCCGTTATCCCAGAGACTTTGATGAGCTAACAGCCCAGCCACCGAGTTCCAGGCTAATTCCCAGCCAGACAGGCTCTGAGGAGGCATTTAATTGGAAATCATATTCATGGCAGAAAGCAGAACGTGGTGTTTGATAAGAGAAATCACAACTGAGGGCAGAGCCCTGCTGGGAAGGCATCGGAGCCTGAGGATCCCACCAGGGCTGGGGGAAGCTCCCAGAGCTTTTCATGCTGTTCCTGCATGAGCAACAGCTCTGTGGGATAATAACAACAACCTCTCCAGGGTGAGCTTGTCACTCAGTCCCAGTGGTCCTGGCTGTTTTATAGGGCACTTCCCTTCTTTTCACCCTCAGCAGAAACAGGGCCAAACCCCCAGTTCCCAATAAAAGTGGAGGTGCAGGGGTGAACATTATTTTTCCAGAAACAAGTCCACTCAAAATGTTGTTTTTCCTTGGCTTGGACTAGTCCAGCCTCAAAATACAGCCCATATTGTCTGTCCTTTTTGTGTTCTTCTCCATGGACCAATTCTCAATTGTTTAGCAATGAACAAGTCAGTAAATTAAACTATTCAGGAGAGCTCTGATTTGGTAGAGTCTGTGTCTGTCTCCCTCATTGCAGAAACACTGATTTGACTAAAGAGGACTTTTTTCACCCAAACAATGCCTGACTGTCACACTTGCTTTCAGTGAGGATGATTTCATTGTCTGGACCTTTCAGCAGAAGAGTATCTGGAGCAGGATGAGATTGTCCATAACATTTGAATCCAAAAAATCTCCAGCTTCTGGGAGAAACAGAAGAAAAGTGACTTTCTATGCAATTTTCAACTTAACCAATCTTGCCTGATTTAACAAGTATATTTAGCACTGATTGACATGCAGAAATTATTCCTTCAGCAGCAGATCTGGGGGCTAATTAAAACTCATTGTACTATATTAAGGGATGAATTCTGATCTGTGCTAGCAGTGTAAACTTTCCCTGGTTCCAGCAATGGTTTTCCTGTTTCACTGGCTCCAGTTCACAGGGGCTGCAGGGGATGGCCAGAGCTGGGCTGGCTCTGAGCTGAGCTCCCACCTGGGAGCATCCCATCGACGTCAAACAAAATCTCTGGGGTAAGCTGGAGAATTGGGCCCATATTTTCATGCAAATGCAATACATTCATGTTACTTAATGCCTATTTATAATAAATCCAGAACTTAAATCTACTTAACCCGTCTTTAGTGTTTGACACATGAAATCGGTGAGTCAGAGGGCTATATATGGATCTGTCAAAATTTTCTTTTTTCCCCTCCTCTAAAAGCCTGGATTAAATCATAATCAAATTCCCATCAGCTCCAGCAGCAGTGCTGGGATAAGCAGGAAGATGCTGACAACTGCTAAGGCAGCTGGTGGCGGGGAAAGATCTTCTCAGGCAACAAACTGATGGCTAAAACCTCAGAGAAAAGGTTCTGAATTCAGACACATGCTACCTCCATTTGCTGAAATGACAGAACCAGAATGGCTTTGGTTGGAGGGAATCTTAAATCTCATCCAGTTCCACCTCCTGCCATGGGCAGGGACACTTTCCACTGTCCCAGGCTGCTCCAAGCCTCATCCAACCCAGCCTTGGACACTTCCAGGGATGGGGCAGCCACAGCTTCTGTGGGCACCCTGTGGCAATGCCTCAACACCCTCTGAGCAAAGAATTTCTTCCTAACATCCAGACTAATCTCTCCTCTTTTAGTTTAAAATCATTTCCCTTGTCCTATCACCATCTTGCCCATGTAAATGTCCTGTAGTCCTGGAGGTATCCTTTCGTCTCCTGGTGTCACCTTACCAAGCCCTGACTTGTGAATAGTGTCCCATGAGCACATTTTCTAGCCAGGTTTTTGTTTCTTTCCTCTGATGGATGTTATCTTCACATGTGCATGAATCAGCTTTCAACAGGCAAGACCAGTTTTGGCCCCAAACCATCACAAACACACTGAGAGTTGTAGACCTGCAGCATTTTTCAACTGGCTTGAGTTTTGCTCTTTGTTTCTTTGAGAAAAGGTTTCATTTCAGATATGCACCATCTACTCCTCAGATGCTGAGCTGTTCTCTCCCTGCACAATATCACTTCTTCCTCCCTGTCCCTCCTGGGTGGGGTAGAGACATCTCCGTACAGGGAAATGACCTAAAAGTTTTCAGGGTAATTGGTAGAAGTAAGGGGGGAGGAGGCTGTTGGCTGCCTCCTCGATTACAGCTGTAATTTCTCCACACTCCAAGAGGAAATTGTCATCGTAATTTCCTGCAGATGGTTTTCTCCTGAATTGCTGACACCAAGTGAAATGCAATTTCCAGCAGTGAGCTGTCTCCTCCCTGGCTTTGCTGGGTATTATTTCAAGCCTTGCTTTAGGAGCAAGCTCCCCAAGCTTTGACTTTAGGAAAGTAAAACTCTCCCACAGCAGGCTCCACTACTCCAGCAGAGCCAAATAACGTGGATTTCATCTGTCTGTGCTAACTCCCAGGCACCTTTGGCTGCAGCAGGTACGCTGAATTACTGCTCAAAGGCTGCTTACTCAGGGGTGGAATGCAGCAGGAAAATTGAGGAGGATGTGCTGAAAGCACAGAAAGAAGAGACCTCCAAAAATTTCACTGGCCTGAGGTCAAACCTGGCATGTAACAAGCACACAGGCGCTGCAGGATGATTTCAGCTGAAGCACAGAACAGGGAACTCAAGGGCAGAGCCATCCCAGGTGCCACTGCCACACGAGGCTGTGTCTGACCTGGAGCAGGGTTCTCTGTGCCACCGTGGGGTGCTGAGCGCTGGCACAGGCTGCCCAGAAAAGCTGTGGCTGCCCCATCCCTGGAAGTGTCCCAGGTTGGACAGAGCTTGGAGCAACCTGGGACACTGGGAGGTGTCCCTGCCCATGGCAGGGGGTGGAACTGGATGAGCTTTAAGGTCCCTTCCAACCCAAATAATTCTGGGATTCTATGATCCTATGACTTTTTTTTTGCTGAATTAGGTAAAACTGCACAAATTTACTCTCAGTGGTGCTGCTGATCCCTCAACAGCTTTGGAGACATCACACCCAAGCAGGAGGCAGGGGTTTGCTCCAGGCAGGGACATGCAATGCACCAGCTCTCAAAGCCTGGCACAGCATTTGGCCGCAGCTGAACCCAGCTAATAAATTCCCACCGTGACCTCCCACACCCCATTCTTCCCCAGGGAAGTCTGTTGGCAAATCCAGACGTTGTGCTGGAAACCCTTCATGCCAGACTGGGCTGGGAGCACTGGGAGGGTGGTCTGTGGCAGAGGAAGAAGCACAACACAGAGAGATTTGGGGAGGAAATTCTCTTTCCCATGGATTCCAGCAGCTCCATGTCAGCTCTGGGCAGAGCTGGGCAGCACAGGAGAGCACAGCAGGTACAGCCTGGGTTAGAAGAGCTATTTCCAATTAATCATTCCTGATTACAGTCCTATGCAAGGCTCCTGGTCAGGACTAAGAATACCTTATTAGTTGAACACGATCTGCAAGTGGCTTAAGGCAGCTGAGGATTTGCCTATGTAAGATCACTCAGGGAA